GCCGTGCGGACGGGCTGGCTCCCAGCTGAACGTCGGCTCCACACGCGGGCATCTCTCCGGCTCTCCAGGCAGGGGAAGAAGCTCTCCTTCGCCAGCCTGCCTGAGCCTCCCTCTCGCTGGCAGGCGCCATTAGAGAAGCAAAAGGTTAATGAGCCGACGCGCCGTGGTGTTGCGGCAGCAGCACGATGACAGTGAAGCAGCAATTACTAATTAGATGCAATTTAACGGGGGGGGAGTGACATCTCCTCTTCACCAACTGTCAATAATTAGCAGATCTGGTGAGGCTGAAATGTGTCCACAGTTAAAAGGCGGCTTTTGCGTGGGAAACGGAGGAGGCGTTTGATGGGAGGGGCTGCAGGGAGGTCAGTGCGGGGCCCGCGAGGGACTGGCCGTGTCGGCTGGGACTGAGCTAGGCCGGACTCAGGCCAGGTGGGGAGGGGCTGCCCAGTCCCGCGAGGAGCAGCGTAGGGGCTTCTTCCAGGCAGCGTGAAGGCTGGAGCCGGGGCAACGTCTGGGGAAAGAATTCAGCAATTCCCACGGCAGGAACTGAGTGGTGCAAGAACAAAGGATTGATGCTCATACAACACGCCTAACCAAGTCAGTCAGCAGTGGCACAACATGCTCATCTGGCTGCCTGTTGGTTGCGCGAAGCCCTTGATGAGTGTGGCCGGGGCACCCTGCAGAACGTCAGCACAGCCCAAGGGAGCGGCCCCAGAGACCTTTGGCGGGTTAGGGTCCCCAGACTTGGAACCAGTGTGCGTGTCGCAGGAGCTCCTTCCAGGCTTCATCCCAGGCCCGGAGAGCTGGAGCTCCTGGGTACGAGACGGGCCCTTCCACCAGGCGCCCTGCCGGAGCCACTCAGCCAGGGGTCACTCCTCCTGGCCCAGGAAGCAGGGTCAAGCGGCTGGCGCTGCTTGCCTGGGGGTCTCCTGGCTCGCCCTGTGTGCCCGGCTCCCGTCGCGTCCTCTTTTGCCCACAAGCTGCTGAGAGACCCTCTCGAAACCAACGGCCTGTAGAGGCTTGAAGGCTGCTTGGAGAGGGCTGGTTTTGAGGGGAGAGAGACTCAGAGAGCCCGTCGAGTTGGCCCCGCACAGCTGCTCTGCGATTCCCCGGGGTGTTGCTCAGAGTCGCTGTTCCTCAGCCCATGTACAGAGGGCTCTCTCCAAGGTTGCCTTTGGGGCTGAACCAGGCACGGTTGCTCCCCATGACAGGGAGGGCCACTGACCTGTCCCCTGCCAGCTCTGGAGTGGCAAAGGGAAGGCGGTGAGGAGTGTATCCTGCCCATCCCATCTGCCCCACCCTCCGGATGCGCCTGGCCTCTTCAGTTTGCCAGCCATTTTCGCTTCTCAGGTCCTCTTCTTCTCTTTCTTCTCAAACTGGCATATTCCAGCCTGGGCCCTTTGGGTTGCTGGACTCCGGGTCTCCTCATCCCTTGCCAGCAGGACAATGGAATTTGAAGTCCAGGACATCCAGAGGGCCTCGGGTTGCAGAAGGCTGGCGTACCCTGTGGGCCGGCTTTCTGATTTGCGTGGGATCCTCTTGCAACCAGCATGAGGGGCTTGTCAAGATGGGGCACCAGGATGGATTGTTGATCCTGTTTGCTAAAAAGGTGAATTCTCCCTCAAACTGGGCATTGTCCTGGGGACTTGATGGACACGTGGCATTGTTGTGCTCGTGGCAGCAATACAGCAGCAGATGGCCATTTGCCTCCTTCTGGGAAGCTTGTTTGACATCCCCATCCCTGTACCCCTGGGGTCTCCTGGTGCCCTCCCACTTGATCAGGAACCAGATCCAGCTTGGCTCAATTTTTAGAGAATCACCACCGTTGGCTGTATGAGGGAGGGAGGGGAGGGGAGGGGAGGGTACGGGAAAGGTAGGAAGGGAAAGGAAGCTGTAAACAGTAACGGAGGGTGGCCAATCCTTCTTTTTAAAGAAGATGCTTGGCCACTTTCTGCCTGACAAAGGGCCCCTTCTGAGCCCAGGTGCGCCTGCCAGAAAGTGCTGAACAGGCTTAACCCAGTGACACGAGGAGTACAAAGTCTGGTCTTTCCCTCCTGTAAGCCGCCTTCTTGTGCCTGCTGGGCTGCTGTCAACCCGC